TGTTTCCTGGAGGTTCCTTTGGATTTATTTGGCTCTGGTATCATGATTATTTATTGTATTTCCCCTTGCTAGAAAGAAAGAACACACTTGTTACATCCTGTCATTTATAAATTTGAGTGTTTATTGATCTCCTGCTGTGTACAATGCATTATTATTGGTACCCTGGAAAGATATAAAAAATAAATCAGATAATATTGTCATCACAAAGCCCTTTCAATCCAATAAAAAAGGCAGATTGTGGGCCAGGCTTTCAGTTAGGTGCTGGGGATGCAGAGGTGAACAAAGTTCTTGATTTTATATTTTCCAAATAACTAGGACAGGTATATACGGAGATTAGTGAAGTTCTTGTTGAGAAAATAATCTTGAAGCTGGATTCATAAAGGAAAAATTAGAGTTAGCCCAGACAAAGGGGAGCGTGATGAAAGGTGTCTGTGAAGGAGAGGGAACTGTAAACACAAGTGAGGTCCAGGGACTTAAAAGAGCAGGTGTAAATTCTTTGCAGATCTAGAAACTTGATCCACCCAGTGTCTCAGAGTGGATTAGACTCACTCTGAAGATAGAATCACAGGAACCAAGTTATGGTACTGTGATATATAAACCAGGCTAATAATTTACTCATCTTTAATGAAATTAACATCAGGTACTCCCTCACCCATGACCTGAGTATTTCTCCCCATTAGTGAAGCTACATGAGAAAGATTGCTTTGTGGTCCTGGCTTTAGAAATGGGAGTGGTTAGCTGCATGATTCAGAGTTTCCCACTCTAGAACTGTTGACGCATGTACCTCTGCATGTGGATGGAGCTATAGAAATAGATTGGCGAAGTCTGAGGGTTATAAGTAGCCTTTTAAGCATAGTTGGATGTTACATGTTGACCACCATACTTTTCTTGGGCTCTCACTTGTGTGTGTATGTGTATGTGAGTGTCTGTTGGCCACCCAGGATATGATATATTATAAAAATATAGTCAATCAATTGACAAATCTTATTAAGTCTGCTTCCTAATGTCTCTTGACTCCATCTACATCTTTTAATTCCCATTCTCTTTAATCTCTTGCACTGATAACTGATATAACCACTTATGTGGCCATATTCTCTTCTAGTTTTGCCGTCCTTCAACCTCCAAAATTTGGCCATGTTATCTTTCTTTTTAAAATTTAGATATAAAAAAATAAAATTTAGATATAATTGATATATTACATTGTACTTGTTTTAGGTATACACCATGACTTCATATATCTGTATATATTCCAAAATGATCAACATCATAAGTTCTGTTAACATCCATTACCACACCTAGTACAAATTTGTATCTGTGAGATCTTTTAAGATTGACTCTCTTTGCCACCTCTATACATACAATTCAATATTGTTAACTATAGTCACCGCACTGTATATCATATCCCTAAACTTACTTATTACTGGAAATTTGTCTTTTTTTTTATTACCTTTACCAATTTTATCAATCCCCAGTCCCTTTCCCCTTCCCCTATTCTTTCTGTGAGCTTATTTTTTTTGGGGGGGGAGGGTTAGTTGGTTTGTTTAGATTGCACATATAAGTGAGATTATACAGTATTGTTTTTCTGTCTGACTTATTTCACTTAGCTCAAGGTTCATCCATGTTGTTGTAAGTGACAGAATTTAGTTTTTTATGGTAGAATAATATTCCATTATAACGATGATGGAGATACATTTTGAGAAATGTGTCTTTAGGTGATTTCATCATTGGGCAAAAATCATGGAATATAGTTATGTAAATCTGTATGGCATAGTCTACTATCTATATAAACTATATGGACTAACCTTTTGGGGCTATTACCCTAAATTCTGTCCATCAATCCAACAATAGTGATACTTGATTATGTGTTACCTTTTTAAAAATCCATTTATCTTTTAATTCCAGGTCTTGGTAATTGTTAGTAATATTGCAAGTATCTGTTTAACAAAGTGACTTCATTTCTTTGGGTATATAAAGCCAGAATTGGAATTGCTAGATAATATGGTAGTTTTAGTTTTATTTATATTTAATTGATACATGGAAATATTACCATCATAATGCACCCATTACCCATTTGCCCATATTCCACCACTATAGACCATTGTGCTTCCTTCCTTCTTTCTCTTTACCCTTTCATAATTTTAATTTTTTAATGAACTGCCAGCCTGTTTCCATAATGGCTTCACCAATTTACATTCTCACTAACAGAAAATAAGGATTCCACATCCTTGCCAACTCTTGCACTTCTCATCTTTTTTATTACAACCATTTTAACAGGCATAAGGTGATCTCTTATGGTGATTTTAATTTAGATTTCTTTGTTGATGAGTGATAGTGAGTGCCTTTTAATGTATCTGTTGTCCACTCTCTTTTGGAAAAATGTCTATTCAGATTCTCTATCCATTTTGTAATCATATTTTTTATTTTTTTTTTTGGCTTTGAGATGTATGAGTTTCTTGTATTTTTTAACCTCTTATCAGATATATATTGTCTCCCATTAAGTAGACTATCTATTAATTTCGTCGATGGTTTCCTTTGCTGTAAAAAGTTTCCAGAAACTTTTTAGTTTGATGCAGTCTCATTTATTTATTTTTGGTTTTGTTGCCTTTGCTTTTTTTTTTTTTTACTTATTTGTGCATACAGAACTGGGGTACAGGCCAGAGGCTCAGCGGCGGTGAGAGGCTTCACCAGAGACAGAGTGGGGAGCAGAACAGGCAGATCGACGAAGTACACTGCTGATGGGAGCAGCGGGTGGGTCAGGAGAGGTCTGCCGAACCACATGGTCATGGCGGGAATCGAAGTCATGCGAAAGTGAAGTGGCTTTAGCTTCTCAGTGTTGTACTTTAACCAGCAGAGCCACCAGGGAGGGCCTGTTGCCTTTGCTTTTAACATCAAATCTAAAAAATAATCATAAGCTCCTATGTAAAGGAGCTTATTCCCTCTGTTTTCTTTGAGGAATTTTATGGTTTCAGGCCTTAAGGTCAAGTCTTTAATCCATTATGAATTGATTTTGATTTTTGTGTGTGGTAGAAGATATGAGTCTATTTCCATTGTTTTGCATGTAGTGGTCTAGTTTCCCTAACTTCATTCCTTGCAGATTGTCTTTTCTCCAGTGTGTCTTTTTGGCTTCTGTGTTGTAAATTAATCAACCGTGTGTGTGTGTGTGTGTGTGTGTGTGTGTGTGTGTGTTTCTAGGCTCTTGATTCTGTTGCATTGATCTGTGTGTTTGTTTTATGCCAATACTATGCTGTTTTGATGACTATAGCTTAGCAATAGAGTCTGAAAACAGGGAGTATAATGAAGAAGATCTCTCTACTAAAGTACAATCTGATCAAGTAGTGCCCCTTTAAAACACTTGAATATCTTCCCCATAGAGTTTGGAATTGTAGCAGTGAGGGTCTTGATAGGAAACAGAATTTACCCCAGATGGTCCAAAGGAAGAGACTTTAATGAAAGTACTACTTGCAGATGTACAGATGGGGTCTAGGAAGCAAACAACGAATGGTAAGACAGCCAGAGACTAGCTACAGAGGAAGCTGTCACCACTGCTAGGGTTGATTGGAGAAGGACGAAAATTTGTGGCACATAGTAAAAACTGGAGGGGGGGCAATTTGTGGAGCTTTGCTGTAGAGGGTACAACTATCATTATAGATATGATACCAAAGCACGAAGGGAAGAAATACTGTGACCGTTCATCTTTCCTGCCCATATGTCACCTGCTAGAGATTCCCATCATCCAAGTTATATGGGGAGCCAGCTGGCAAGGTGTTGGGTAATACAGTCTGTAAGTCAGCTTGCTGGGATACGGAACAGTGTAGAACAGGGTGAGGGTAGGAGGAACACATTGCAAATGATGAATAATCAGTGCAGGGATCCATAAAATAATATCTGGATTACTGAACAGTATTATTACAAGGACTAAATAAAGAGAAGTATGTGAATGTAGTTGTCAAGAGTTTGTGCTCTGAAAATTAATATCCTTTCTTGTTTTTCATATACTAGCCCCAGGTGGGGGATAGATGTTAGACAAGTATTTGCTAAACTAGTTCTAGTATTTTTCTTTGGGCCATTATTATTTCTTGTAAGGAGAAACATCAATGGTGTTTCTAAGCCTCTCCCAAAGAGAAGAACCCCCTTCTTCATCAGACTTGGCATCCTCTTATTCTTTTCCTTCTTCCCATTTTTATTTATAAAAATGTACAATGGAAACTTTCAATTTACATTAAAAATAAAATGATATCGTGAACCTCCATGTTTCTCTCATTAACTAGAAAAAAGCAACAATTTGTTAATCTTTTTTTATGTACCCATCGACCTTTTTGCTAGTTAGCATATCTTAAAACAAATCCCAGATCACTCTACTGTATAGCTTTAGAACTGAGAAGGCCTTTGATTTTTCATAACACCATCATACCTGTTATTACTCCTAATAAAACCAAAGACATGACTTTAACTTTAATGCTTCCTTCATGTTCAGTTTTTCTAACTGCCGCAAGGTATCTTCTTTTCTGGTTGTTTTGTTCATATCAATATTCAAACAAGTCCCACATCTGTAATTCCTTTTGGTTAAAATTACCTTGAAGGCAAGCTGTGGTAACCACTGGGTGTGGGGCATTTAGGGGCCACCCTTGCAGGAAGTATGCCCTCCTATGTTCTCTTTATCACACACGCAGAAGAGGCAGCTTCACATCCTAATTGCTGACAGTCTGCAGCCTACCCAGTGGGGCTGAGTCTTTTTCTTTGAACAGGGGGAGGGGACGAGTGGGTGGGGTATCTGTCAAGGATGACAAGTTGCAGGGCCAATTCCAACTCATTCAAGCCTGTATCCATACCTTGTGCGGGTGTGGGTATGTGTGAAGCAGTGAGGACAGATGTGCATGGGGGTGGGGGTGGGGATGGGGGCAGCACCTCAGCATTAATCTTACCTAACTGATCTCAGCCTTTAATAAAATCAGCTCTGAGAGATTCTAGGTCCTAGCAAAGACAAAGAAAGAAACTAGTACCAAGCTCTTTGTCCCCTTTATTTTACTGGTTTCTTCAGAGTCAAAGAAACATGACTGAAATTCACACTGAGCTAAAGAGCGAGTTTACAGGTTATTAAATCCAACCTTTCAATCAGTAGGAGGTCCCTCTGGTAATAAGAACTAACACCTTGACAGCATGTGGTCTAAGGGCACCAAACAGCATCTGGAGGCTCTAAATACTCCCCCTACCAGGGGTCAAGTAGCCTCTGTGGGAGCCTCTTCAGGCATGGAAAAACCTCCTGTTCTCATTGTTAGCAGGTCCCCTGTTCATGTAAATCCCCCCAGCTGCTGAGAGTTTTGCCCTGTGTTGCTCTGCAGAGTGTCACATTTGTGGTGGTGGGGGTGGGAGAGGGTATATAAGGCCACATAGCTGGAAAATGTTCTTTAATTGACAGTCGAAATGCTACAAATTATTGCTGCCTCAGTACAATTAGATTAAAGTGTACAGGGGTAATAACAGCTAATATTAATTTGTACTTATCACATGCTGTGTTTCCTCCAACAGTAATAATAAAATACCACAGCCGGGGTTGCTTAAACACCAGAAATGTATTGTCTCACAGATCTCAGGGCTGGAAGTCCAAGATCAAGGTGTTGGCAGGGTTCCCTCTGAGCACTGCCAGCAAGATTCCATTTCAGGCCTGTTGCCTAGTTTCTGGTAATGTACCAGCAATCTCTGGCATTCCTTGCATCTCCAACCCCCCCAACCCCCCCAGTTTCTGCCATCCTCATCGCAGGATATCATCCCTATGTGCCTATCATTTGTCCTGGTCTCCTTCTTTTGTAGGGATATCAGTCCTTGGATTAGGACCTACTGAATACTATTCAAGTTACTAATTAGGTCTGCAATGACCTAGCATGAAAAGTGGTCACATTTTGCGGTACTGGGTAGGACTTTAGCCTAACTATGAATTTTGGACGACATGATTCAACATGTGCCAGTGTTTTTCATGTATTTTGTTAAGTACTTAATGTTATCCTCATTTTAAAGATGAAGAAATTGGGGTCTAAATAGTCTGATAGCTTGTTCAAGATTGCTCAACCACTGAGTAGCAGACACACGATTTAGAACATAGACACTCTTACTTCCAGAACACAGGATTTTTAACAGCTTCACTGTACCATCTTATTTCTCCTATTATTTTTACTTTCCCTAGCCTTATAGTGGCAGAAATTACTTGTTAGAAACTAATGAGCAATTAAGAAAAAAAATTTTGCTAACCTAACATTGCCATCTAGTGGTGAAGACAATTAAAGTTAGCAAAAGTTGCTTTACGTTCAGCGCTCACGGGTTTGCCTCCTACTTGTGCCAGAACAGTGCAGCTATTATGAATTCTGCTTGATGTGCTTTGAGCCAAACACAAAGCACATGAGTAAAAAACAAGGGCAGAACAGTCCAAACTCTGAACTACTGACAAGATCTAGTTTTTTCTGATTAAAACATATAACCCACCATAGAAAACTCTTGCATACACATTCTATGATAGTATATATTTAACAGCTCTAATTTTCTGAAACCTACAACTGTTTTATTCTATTTTGAAAAACTGGTTTCTCCTAATGCCCTTGCTTTGATGACTCATTCTAGACACGGTTTCTGCTGTTCAAACTCAGGATTCAAAAATACGTTACTATTAGCAGTTGCTAACCATTGGCCACTGTTTGACAATGTTTTTGTTGCTTTTCCATCTCTGGGCATGCAATTTCCGAGCACCGTTCTCTAAAGTCTGCTCTCCACCATGAGGTACATGACTTAGAAGTAATGTGGGTATAACATGCTCCTGATTCCCCATTCCTAGCTACCACGCCCCCTCACATCCCCGGGCACAGATACCTACCTTCCTCTCATTTATCTAAATCTCCAGGATCCATATTTTCGGGAACAGAAAAGAAGGGCAGTAAAAGACAACAGAAAGAGCTGCACACAATTAAAAAAAAAAGCAACCCTCAAATTACAGTGACTTCTCTTGTATTCTGATGTGTCTTCTTTTCCCCATTAGGATATAAGCTCCATGAGATAGAGAATCTTACCACTGTCTAGCAACTTGCATACACGGTTCCCGACACCAAGAAGGTGTGTTTAAACTTTTCTTGGATGAGTGATCGAATGAGCAACATGATAAAACAAGGTCATTACAGCAGCCATGTTGAGAAATATACATAGCCTGTGCCCAACTTCTTTCCGCCTTAGCGAGAACTGACTGTGTTCCATCTTAGCATGGTGTGTGGTACATAATAGGTATTCAAGAAATTCTTTTAAGTAGAGAGTCCTAAGGAATTACATGGTACATTCATTTCCTCTGTTGTATATGTCACAAAGGGAAAAGAGGCTGGGGACTGTGCTTCTAAGGGATGAAACAGTTTCGCTCAATCTTCAAATAACCCCTGAATGAATAAACTATCAATGTTCAATTTGAACATAAACACTGAACATTTAGCCAATGTTTATAAATTAATGAAATGTTGTCAGAGACAGAAATGGAGTTGGATAAATTCAGGCTAGTAACTCTGAGGAGGAAAAGGAAATAGAATACTTTAAATCCAGGGGAAGATTGTGTGTAAACAGACAAAGCACTCTGTGAGCTCCATGGAGATAACACATCAGCCACAAAAAAGATGTTCGTGGCTGACTCTGATTGCAGGCTGAAAAAGGGGTCCTCGATTCAACTTTTAGTGACTTGATTAAGTTGTTAAGACAACTCACCAACTTCTGTTTATCTGTTACCATGCTTCTTCCTTTTTCCTAGGCAGTGGGAGTGCTTTTCAGCAAAAATAATTCAGTTACCTCCTATGTGTTTGATAAATAAATCTAACCAGATTTTCAAATCGACATACTCAGGCTGTTTTCCATCAAGCTAAAAGATGAATTGTTCATCTGACCAACAAATAAGCTTATGCTCTGTTGGGTGTAGGAGGTGGGGGTGTAGGATTCCTGCCCTCAAAGAACTTGTTGTGGGACAGAGGCCAAAGCAGAGGGGCACAGGATAAGGAGGCCATACAGGTGGCCTGATGCTATGATGAAAGATCCTAGAGCCAGCAGGTCTGAAACAAAATAGGACCTCGGGCAGTTTAGAGTGATTATTGCTTCAGAACACATGATCACTGTTTATGCTGGAAATGTACCCCACAAAACCTGCCTCTCCACAGCAGGTATAAATGATGTTTTGTTTCCTACACACCATTCTTTGCCATAGTCGCACAGGTAATTGGCCCATGGTTACAGCCCACCACATTCTAGACTATTCTTACCCAGCGTAGTTAACTGTCTAGTTTAGGACTCCATATGGAAGCAAAGTGGCAAGCTATTCAAAAGTAAGATAGATGAGATGTGGGTAAATTAGATTACTAAGCTGATAAAGGGAGGCTGATGGTGATTTAAATAATGACATAGACCTTCATTGTATGAATGACTGATGTCAGGCCCAGAAACTTTTCTTTGGATTTGAGTCCAAAGCATTTGAATGAGTTGGCTCCCTAAAACAAAAGGTTATTAATAAAATGTTATTAATAAAAATGATGTAGCGTGCTGTACATGGCATAAACCAATGTAAGAACTTGCAGTATCAAGGCTGGGAACGTGAGCCTCCACCTTGCTACTACCTTACTTCTGCTCACGACAGCACCGGCTCAGGAAAGCCAGCGTGGGCCGGTCAACTGGTTAGAATTGAGACTCAAATTCATTTTTTGTTTCTAAAGTATTTCTGAGTTGGAGATTTCTAAGTATGGCTGTCAGGAGAAAGAAAAAAGGGTCCCCTGAGGCCACTGCAGAGGAAGGGCTGCAGACACAGACTGACCAGAGTTCTGCTTCCTGCTTTTGATTTGATTTCTTTGCAAAAAAAGAAACAACAGATAAGAGTTGCTGATGTGCAGCCCTGCCCATGATTCCGTAATTTCTGTCTCTTTGTGATCTTGTCCTCTGCCCTGGACAGCAAAATACAGGCCACGGTCATAGGCCTTGCAAGCCACAGGGCTACCACCTTTTTCCTGCTCACAATCGCACAGGCCCTGGGAAGCCAGATCGAACCAGTCAGCTGACGTTTGTTTTCTACTCTGTGCCAGGCTCTTGACAAAGTGCTTTCTTATAGGTCAGGTTGGGCGAGAAATACGGCCCAAACTTAGGAATCCAAAAGGACTAGTGGGACCCACATGTGTACCCCTGGACCCTGTGTGAGCAATGCCATAGATCTGCATGTGTTCCTGATAGCATATAGGAGAATTTTATCTCTCTTTCCTTTCCCATTCTTCAAGCTTTCCCCAGGCGCCTTAATAGCCATATATTTCATTTTCCACCCATCCAGACTCCTTGCTCCTCCCCATTCGTTCTGGGGAGAACTCGTAAATATCATTGGTCACAAAGCCACTCTCCACACTTGCCAGAGTCACGAATCCGCTTTCAGATGGGTTTACAGCCATGTTGTCATAGTCATAAGACAAGTCATCGGGTGTGGCTTCTCCTGAACACACTCGGAATGAAATGTTCTTCAGGTCTGGTCGAGTCTCAGCTAAGTCAGCTTCACTTTGTTTTCGTATAACATTGTAAACCTCGAGGTCGGGGCTGTTCCCTTGGTGAGCAGTGGGCCAGATGGTGTGTGGCTCCTTTGTGCTGGGGTCAGGCTGCTCCCATCTCCTAGGAGGACAGAAAGCCAGGGCTGAGTATTTTAGACAAGGGGATTGCTAGCATGCTGGGGCTTCCTGTGCAGGCCGGAGGGAGCCATCCCAGCAGGCATACATGGACTTTCTCCCTGCCTAAATTTACAGGCCCTTGGGCTGCAGCAGAAATAAGATAAGAAAATGATGCTGCATCCAGAGGCTGTGCATCTATCACTCCCTGCTAGCAGAGTATAGGACAGGGGTCCCAAGATACCCCAGCGCATTCATGAATTGAACTGGGTGAGGAATCATACTCCATCTAAAGAACTCACCAGTGAAATTTAGCCTGTCCTTCAATTATGAATGTAGGCAATAGACCAGAGTAGGATCAGTAGTATCCTTGCTATGATTACTGACAGAAATCAGATGTTTTTTTTTTTTTATCTCATATCACAAGTTATGTAGAGGCCTTAAAATATGTCCTGCTCACTCTACATCAAAATTATAGCAACTATAACTGCCACTAAATAAAGACATATTATTAAAAGAAGCATGTGTAGTACTGTGGCACATATTCACGAGTGGAAAGCGTGGTTAAACTAGCAGATGTATGACCGCTTCCCTTGTAACCCAATGCATTTTATTTAATGCGTTAAAAAATATAATTCTGGGAAGAGCTCCATGGACTTCACCAGACTGCTACAGGGTCTTTGGCACAAAAGAGGTTCAAAATTCCTAAGACAGAGAAACATATTCCCAGATGATGGTGGGGCACTAAATAGAGAAAGTAAGGAAGGGGAACTGGAGAATGAACTGTAGAGTAACTGGAAAATACATTTGTAATTTTTTTGAACAGAATTCAATATTTTTGATGAAAAAGAAATAAATAATAAAAATGATAGTAATGATAGCTGACATTTTCTAATGTTTACTAATGCCCATTCTGCATGTATTTACTGCTTAAGTCCTTATCATAATCCTGTGAGGAAGTTATTATTAAATGTAGCTTCTACATTGGAATCTTACCAGCTCATCTTAAATTTTTCATTCAAAGGAATCTAATTTTAAATTAGATCTGGGTTTTCCTGTTGTATAGTGGGAATCCCAGTCTCCTTTCATGTATTCCATGATGGGGAATACAAGTTAACTGGGTACCTCCAAAGCAGTCCCATGTAATTCATAAATAGAGGTGCTCTAGGTGACTTAGCAGTGATTTTGTCACAATCTACACTTGCATAGTCACTGAACGCTCAGTTAAAATTTGTAAAGGATTTTGTTATTTCATTTTGAATTAGGTGGCTCGGTTTCAGACATTTATTAGAATTCTTGGGAACAGTTCTTTTTCATATTATTCACTATTCATTCCCTCTCTCACACAAGACTTGAGTGAGAACATACATTCCCAAGAGCTGAGTGATGTGTGGAAACACAGGAAGTAGATGGCACAGTTTCACCCCTCGAATGGTTCAAAATCTCACACCCACACAAAACAAAAGAATGTAAGATCATACTCTTAATCACAACTTAGCACAAAAGCTTAGTACTTCTAAAAGCCCTGAGACACAGAGAAATTACTCCCCAATCTGCAGTCTCCATTCTCTTACATTCTCTTACTACAGCTTTTAGTGAAACAAACTCAAAGAGTTCAGAAGACACAGAGGTTTACACAATGAAGGAAGTACTTGCCTCCTTCTATAGATCCAAACCCAACAGATAGCTGTGGAGACCACAAGAAGAAGGGCAAGGGGGATGCTGGGTATTAAGATGTAGGCAAGATTCAAGGTAGTTCCTGAAAAGAAAAAAACACATGATCAGCATTGGTGATGTTTCCAGGTGCTTCCAGACAGGTATAGAAAAAGGTTATTAACACAGAGTATTTCAGAGTTCTTTCTATGGGACCAGATAGCAAAGTCTTCCAGTTGTAATAAATGAGTCTCCTATCACTCCCTTTATCTAAAGTATTAAAGAAATTTAAATTTTGGGGTCTCTTGCAAAATATCAGAAGGGAACTTTCATTAATTCAACTGTTTTCAGAGAAAAAGAGATACTTTTCCTCCCTTCCTTTCCTGTAACAAATTAGTGCTGGCTTTCACTCCAGAGACATAAAGGGCACTTCCCACAATGGGCCAAGGGGGTAGGAGGGAAAAGGAAACAAGCCTGAAGTCTCAGTTATTACCAGGACTTACAGCCCATGAATCAACCTGGAGATACTTCTCAGCGATTCTGACTAAGACTAGTAGATTCAGCTAGGCCCGTGAACAGTGACCGTGAAGAACACTCAAAGATTTGGAACTGGAGGGGATGAAATAAATTAGAAGGAGAAAGATAAGTAGTGATGGTTTCACTTACACATGGAACACAGAGAAACAAAACAAAGGATCATACAAAATCAAACCAATAACAAACCCTAGAGATATTACTGAGGAATTGAAGCTGCCAGAAGAGAGGGAGGAGGACAAAATGGGAGAGGCCTAATGGTTGGTGGTGGAGGACTATGGGTACTGTGGTGGTGGGTGTGGTGTGGTAACATACACCTGAAGGGTGTGACCCTACAGTGTTCTAAAATAATGTTACCTGAACAACAACAAAAGAAAACAAGGCCTGCCATCCTGACTTTTCCTTGTCTTTTAAGATTTAGAACCAGAGACATTTTCCCTAATTGTTTTTGAGAGGAATCAAGGATTGAGGACTGCTCCTTTTGCTACTTCTACTGGTTTATAATTCCTGAACACCTAGATGCTATTGCCTTTTAATTCCCCACTGTGAGGCTAAAATCCTAAAACTAAGCATAGAACAAACAGAAACCTAAAATAAAACCCCACTTTAAATACCATCACAGTTATAATGAGCAGTTCAGTACTGCCCACCTTTAAATATATATATATATATATATATATATATATATATTCTTTCAAAAAAGCATCTTCATTTATTTGTTGGATAACGATTAATCTGACTTTTTTTTTTTGTCTCTGGTTCCTGAGAGGGAGATTCTTTGGAATTTCCCAAGTGACAGTAGTGACTGTGCTGTTCAGGAGTGGCTCAAGTTCATATCAGAGTTTATTCCGAGGAGATGTCTCAGGATGAAGGCTGATGAGGAGGGAGCGCGATCTAGAGATCAAGTTTGATTACATGGCCAACAATCAGCTCAGTCATGTAATGACATCTCAGTAACATCTCTGTACACCAAAGCTCAACGGAGCTATCTGATTGGTGAACACACTTATGGACCGGGAGGGTGATGATGAATTCACAGGGAGAGGACACAGAAGCTCCCCATTTTCAGGACCCTCCCAGATCTTATTCTCTGTGTTTCTTCACTTATCCGGTCATAGTTTGTATCCTATATAATAAGGCATAATCATAAATTCAGTGTTTTTCTGAGTTCTCTGAGTTGTTTTAGTGAATTATTGAACTTGAAGGGATTGTTGGTGTCCTCTGGATTTGTAGATCAGAATTGTGGATGTCCTGGGAATCTCTGAACTTGAACTTGTAGCTGATATCTGAAATGAGGCCAGTCTTGCTGGGGACTGAGCTCTTAACCTGTAGGGTCTAGTCTCAAAATTGGATTGCAGTATTGCAATATTCTAGTTCATCTTATAGATGCAGTAATGCTTTCAGGCACGTGAGAAAGCTATTACTTTCATTATGCAAATAATGAAAGCACAGAGAAATTAAATGACTTCAAAAAATTGATCAATGAGAAAAACCCAGGTTACCCCTCTTGAAACTCAGGGCGAGAGTCAAGGTCGAAAGTTCATTAGCACCACCCATTAGACATTTTTTCCATTTTACCTGTTTGCTTCACTAGTGACTATTAATCATGGACGTTATGCTTCTGGTTCGAGTCTGTCTGCTCTTAGTTTTCTTTATCCAATCTCTTACTCCTTTCTTTTCTCTCTTTAATTCCCCTTTTCCCTCCAGCCCCCACTGCAACTTTCAGGTGGTTCTGGAAACTCAGTGTTCATGCAGATTTTTCATTTCCTGTCTAGTCAGATCTCTCCCCAATGTCTTAGGATAGCCCCATCTGCATGTTTCACTGATGAATCAATGTAACATTTAACAGTTTTTGCAAAGTCACACATACACGATTAGCTCCGCTTTTTTTAAAGTAGCTTTGGGACAAAGCAAAGTAGGGTAATCTAGGATGCAGAGTCCCATTATCTACTCTTCCCAGGTTCAATACATAACCTTTGTTTTCTTCAAATGTTTCTTTGGCATCTTCTTTCCATGTGTCTCCGGGAAGCATGGGTGTTCTTGGCTCTGTACCTGTACCTGGAGAAACATATGGACTTGAGAACTTGGAGAAAGGCATCATAATCCAGATATTCTCTGGCATCCTACCAAAAAGCAGCAACTATGTGACCAGAGCCATTTATAAACATAGAAATGTTAAGGCTTATTTGCTGACCTAGAGGTTTAATTCTTCCTGATGAGACTTTTGCTGCCAAGAATCAGGTACTGAAACAATCAACAGGCCACTGGCATCAAGAGACATGAAGTAGTGCAGTGCCCAGGAGAAGGCCTATAACTCACTTCTGGAACTATCAGTCACTAGTTTGGCTTCCTTCTTATCTTACGAGATCGAATAGTCCTTTTATTGAGTCAGTAATGATGAGTAATACCCCTAATGAATTTGTAACTGTTACATATTTCAGCTTTGAGAGAAATAGGCAGCACTACAGAGTTAGATTCAAGAGCTACTTATTGTGCCATATACCTGTGCCAGTGGTCTCAATTAACACCAGTGGCTTTTCAATGGAATAACCTAGTTTAAAGAACCTATGTTCTGAACCTATGAAGAGAGGCTGTGAAATAGCCCAAATAAATCCAAATCTCAAATGACAGGCTTACCTCCTGGCCTTGTAGAAGGAGCTATTGGTTTCTCTGTAGCAGAAAGAAACAAAAATGAGATAACTAAATTTTCATGCCATATTAATAAAATTAGCCAAAGATGGTATCTGTTTATTTGCTCATACATAACCACAGTACAGACCAAAAGATCAACATTAATAATTCTATTAGCTGATCTGCAGACCTTATTTATATTCTTCCAGTTGTCCTAATAATATCATTTCTAGAAAAATCACCATCCTCATAGCCCAGTCCATGTTCCTCTTACTTGCTATGAGAGGAGGTAATATTTAGCCTGAAATCGAAAGGTGAGAATGAAGTGACTGGGAAAGGGGGGAGGATGTTGCAAGCACTAGAAGTAGCAATTAAGAGCTCTTGGGGGAACTTCATAGAGGGCAAAGGGGATCGGGCAGGGGACAGGAGCAAGAGTTTTCAGAATTAAGGTCAGAGAGCCCAGGGTTTCCTTGTGTGCATTCTTTTATAGCACAGACTTAGCTGGAGGATGGGTAGTCACGTCCAGGCACTGTGCTCATTTTTCTTCATGTGCCCCTGCCCCTGCTGGGCCTGTATTCTGTCCTCCGTGTCCTGGGCTTGACCTTTATGGATGGTGTCCTTAGGATGCCCTTGTCCTTTGGCCTCTGATTGCACTTGATGGATGGAGGCAGAAACAGGAATTGAGAGGGCAGAAGTAGAGAGAGGTCCTGGGATTTATTCTCTTTGCCCCCTTTCCAGTTACCAAGGTTGATAGTAGCTCATCCTCTGGCTATGTCACTCCTGGGTGGCTCTGCCATGACTCCAAGTTTTCTTGAAGTTCTGCTAATCATTCTGTCCCCTTGCTCCTCAAGACTAGGAGCTAGTCCCATGATAGCTAGGCCTTAGCAAGCCACCATCTCACAGTCTGCCCATCCTTCTGCAGATGCCCTATAATCCTCTCCTCCTCAACTCCTCTGAGTGAATCCCCTCTGGGATTCAGGTACTCAGTGAAAGTAATAACAAATATGATTTAAAAACAAACAAGCCAGGTTTGAATTTCAAAAATAAAAGGCTTGGAAGTATCAAAATCTCACACTTAAAAAATGTTTAAGAAGTATGACATTTTAAATCATGACACTAGTAGGAGAGTTGACAAGTGCTGGAAAACCAGCTTGTGACAATGCCTTGCTTTCATTTCTTCAGTAAAGGGGGCCCACTAAACCAGCTACAGTTTCTGTAACCTCTTTCCTGGAAACAACCCTCTTTGGTGGGCGAGGCCAGGTCTCTAGAAAGAGTTCTTCTGAGAGGGTGAAGAAGGTGAAAAAACACCTTTTAGTAGCACAGTCACGTACAAACAACATGCGTACAAACAACTGCACAGTCACATACAAACAATTAAAAATGATAGGATTATCTACTCTCTAACCAGATCTAACAGAGGGTTCTATTCCTGTTAGGAAAGGATGCAAAATAGGGGCCAAGCATTTCTCTTTAGGAAGGTGAGAAACTTCAGGAACAGTTCACAAATCACTTAGTGTTTAGCTCCAAGTCAGTTATCATGGAGGAGTTTGGGACATTCTAGCAGAGCGAGACTGGGCTCATAGCCACTTGAAAACCTCTAACAAACCTAGAGGCAAGTGCCAGTTGAATTTGCAAGGCATATATTCGGGATGACAAGGGAATGTAAAGCTGGTGTCTGCCCAAACTAATGAAGCTGGAGTCATTATTCTGACTCCTTAAAGCCCCAGAAAACAATCTTATGGTGGTTAGAAGAATTGCAGCTACAATGGGCAGCTTCCTTTCATCTTTGTTTTGTATTGCAAGCACCCACAGTCAACCTCACATACGGAAAGAATACAAACTTGTGATTGTCCACTTACAGGACATTTTGTTTCCCGAAATTGTCATAATTCTTGCTCTATCTTACACAACTTAGATTCTTTTCTCCAATCCTTCAAACAGCATCTACCCTTACATTGGTAGAATTACACTCATGAGGTGTTACTACAGTTCCCTTTATGAGAATTCCAGACATTTCATATTGCCACAGTTGCCATAAAGTTTTCCAGGGACCACATAACATATTTTTGGAGCTAGCAGCTGCCTATGGAATGAGAAGAGGATGAAAATCTGGTCATAAGCTTGGGAGAGGATTCATTACCATCAGAATATTTGCAAATGAAATTGTTTTTCATGTTGCATCGGTCATCATTCCATTGGAACCTGTAGGGGCCCCCGATGCCAGCAGGTGCTGATGGCTGATGGTACATGACCACGCAGACCTCACTGCCGCAGGAAGGCTCATCCACATACCAGTTCCTGTAGGAAAGGGGTCAACAATGGAGAAAGATACCCCAAGACTTGGAAGCCTTCTCCCACCCAGGACCCTAGAGCCACAAACTGAAGATTCTGCTTCAGAACATGATGCAGAGATTAGGAGGAAGTACTGCCAACCAGCTGAAACACACACTGTCTACTATGCACATCACAGTAAATCATCTGGCATTTGCTACAACCTCTTTGCAAGGAGGGGTAGATTGTCCTCTGCTGCCTGTAATGTAATTATGAGGAAGAGCAGCCAGCAGGGCCAGTCTGGAGATCTTTTCTTTCTGGCTTTTTGCTAACTAGATTTTGTGTCTCTCTTTCTCATCTAGAAATCAAATGCACTGAGAAGAGGCATGGTTTATCTTACCCAGAGCTTGCCTTTCTCCCATCTCCTTATGTTTATCAACAGCCATAACTGCCTCCCTAGCCCTAGGAAGTAGATGGAGAATTCAAGTGCATGAGCAAGACATTTCAAATTATAGGGGCTGTCAAAGCAGCCCTTTGAGTGTGGACATGAGTAGCAGGCACTGGAAGTCTTTCCCAGTGTTTTGTTTGTTTCCACTTCACCAGGCTGATGAGCACTATCCGCCTCCACTGCCAGATTTCTTGTCTTTGTCTCACTAGTTTCTTCAGCAGCCTCAGTTTTACTATCCATTGATACTTGAAGCTAAATTGTGCTTCCACCAAATTGCATGTGTACATGCCAGCTTAAAGCCTGGGGTCCTCTAGAGAGTCTAATTGCTCTGAGCATCCTGTCCATATTGCCCACGTATTGTCTCAGGGCTAATTCATTGCCTGCCTGGTTGGTTACCTAACAGAGCTTTTTCCTCCAATCTTGATGCTCGGACAATTGATTTAGGCTTTGCTGCTCTACAGCTCTTATTAGAGCTCTTCCTTAGAGAGAGCTAAAGACAGATGGCCTCATAACACCCCCCAATCAGCTCTGATGGAGTCTTGTGTTGCTGTCCACCAACAGGAAGATCCTTTGCTGCAATCATGGGGGCGAGGAGGGAGGAGGAAGAGCCTGAGCAACAGCTGAACTTGCAGCACTTCTTGAACACTGTGCCTGGACACCTGGGGGCTTGACTGGGGCTGGGCTCTGCCCTTTCTTAGTTCCTCCAGCCCAATTTTCAACCCTCTTGGTAGATCCCCTATCTTGACTTGCTTACCTCTTTTCCATCCCATAGGCCTCATGGCTTTATGTTGTCCATTTCACAGACAGTAGGATGGATGGGATATTATCCCTGGCATCTAGTTTCTGGCCTTGAGCCAGCTTTCAGGAACTCACTAATAGAAGAGGCCAGCTCCTTAGGAAGGACCCTGCAACACCCTGCAGGTGTACAGGGTAATAATTTCCTGTTTTTCTCCCAGAAGGACCTATGGTCATTTATTAAAGAACCACCCACCAAGAAAAAGGGAATGCCCATATATTATAAGGACTAGAAGACACAGGATACAAGTTGACATCAATACCTGAAGACTTGAGGTATCCTCAAGACTACCCACTACAGGAAGAGCATTTTGAAGCCAGATTTTAAGTGGAGTTCTGGCCTGGGACCAGCTTATAGGGGGCCCTTCCAGTGGTCATTCCGTAGTCCCTCAGCATGGGAATTGAATAGATATATTTGTCAGTTGGCATAGTCCTGCTCTGTTTCCTTAGCTTATGGAATGAAAGCTGTAATAATGGAGAAGATTCAGTGGGAGCCTCTGAAACTGCACTCTTCCTCATTCTCTCCAAAAGATTAAAGAAGAAGCAATGTTTTATCCAGGGGAAGCTGAAAGAAAGGAGTTTCACCCTTACAGAGCTAGAGAATATGAGGGTGGTATTCTCTGTCATATCTCTATTGAATTCACTAGTCTTGCTTCTGCCCTAACCAACCAGATGCTGAAGAAAATGATACTAGAGTAACACAAACTCAAAAAAGTAGAAACCTCATTGCAGCTGCTGTGCCATATGGCATCTTGCCAGTGCAGGTTAACAGGCTCTGAGCACCTAGTGTGCCTATCTGGTGAATACATTCTTTTCCATCTGTACTAGGAAAAGAGTCACAAATGGGTTGCATTACTTCATGATGGGTAACGGTAGCCATTTGTGGTCTTGCCTTAAGACTGCATTGGTTTCTTACTGTCATAATATGCTGTAAAGAGGCCTTAACTTCCTAGACATTTGTGGAAAACCACAGTGGTCAACTTGATGCTGTCATGGTGCAGATTGAGCAAGAAGTGTGCAAGAACACTGCAGGTTTTATAAGGACATGCTCAGGAGGGCAGAAGACTCAGGGGACTGGCATATCATGAGGGGACGTGGGTGTCTAGTGATCTAAGGAATAGAACACCCCTTTCAAATAAAAGGGCAAAAGATCACATCTCACAATAATTTGGAGAAGGAATCCCAGCATCTAGTAGGCCTCTTCGGGTTCCAGGGGCAGTGTTGGTCTAGGCCTTGCCAGTTGGGCCTTATGATCCAACAGACCTATTATTAGAAGGATAAGTAAGTGGTAAAAATAATGCCATATAGAATTTGTGACTGGCCCCAATGAGAGTATCACAATCCAGGTCCTTAGGATTCTAGATCATCTGTAGCTGAGAAATAATCGCCATTTGCCAAACAACTCCTGACTTGCTACCTAGACATGGGGTAAGGGGAAGGGCCTTTCCAAGGTCATACTGCCCCTACCAGCTAGTGAGAAGAGTTTCCTTCTGTAGCTGTGGATGGAAAGATGAGAGTACAACTCCAGAGGGACGTCAGCTGTACCACAGCCCCACTCAGAGGTGGCTTTGACAGATCAAGAGGGTGAGGGGACATCCTTCAATGGCCAGAGCCTACCTGGTGTGCTCCTAGAGTTTATCAGAGGTTAGAGCATGTAAAGCGAAGAGCTGGATCAGCTGATCAGGAGGCAAAATCTTTTTCAAAAAGAATGGAAGACTAGGGATAAGGAGCTCTGGATGGAGTAATATTAATAGACAGATGGGAGTGGGTCTGAAGGATGAGAATCGATTGTTTATAAAAGCCCACCAGAATGCATGTGAATAGCACAGGAGAGGCACTTGACAGTCAGAGACACAAAATGAGGAAGGCTGCTGATGTCAGCCTCTCCTGCCTCAGGACTGTAGTCAGCACTGTTATCCGAAGGTTTGGGCAGTATCTCATCAGCGATCACAGGAACCTGGATAACATTTCATCAGAATAAGGCACCTATTTTTGAGGCATGTCCATGCCCCTGCATTCATTAGGGAAGGCAAATGGCATTGCCCTGGTGGCAGGGTGGTAGAAAATGAATGCATTTTCTGTAACTCAGGGGGGTATCTAAATCCTGCAAAACTATTGGCTTCTTTAGTTCCCCTCTGGGCCAATGCATTCAGTTAGATCCTGATGCTGACTTCTTGTCCATCCTCATAATTCCCTATAGTCTGGAGCCCTATCTGGAGTCTGAGCTCCTGTTAGACCTGAATATCTCACTGGGGTTCTAGGCCCACAGGCCAGATGACCAGAACCACTGACTTCAAGCCTTGCAAAGATTGTGCCACTAATACAGTATTTCTGGATAGAGGCTGAATCACCGCTGTGGCCACACTGCTTTGGTCTGGGCCTGTTCCAGTGTTGCTGTCCTCTCTGGGAGCTGCCTGGCAGAGCCTTCACTCCACTGATCTGCACTGTGCATACAGGCTGCCTCCATTTTGAGTTATGTCAAGTGGTTCCACACCCTTACCTGAACGTGGATGTGCAGCCATCGGTCCAAGCATAAAGGTCCTGGCAGGCCGTGCCATTGCTCTCTTTCTCCTCATGCCTCCTGAGCCCGATCCAGAAATCACCATCAGATGCCAGGAGGCTTTCGATAAACTTTTCTATCAGTCTCTGCTCAGCTTCAGACTCGATGCTGACGAGCTGGCCCCCGTCCCTCAAGCAGGCTGTTTTGGCTTCCTCAAAGTTCAGTCTTCGGGAAGCATCGTGGAAGTAAATGACTTTATAACAAGGCCTCTGTGTTCCTCCTCGGCAGACTCGCTGCCCTAGAGAAAAAAGAATTCACCCTATTTCAGTGCTCTTCTCCAACCCCTCCCTTGTATACCAGGGCAGGCATGCTTGGTGGCATGGGAATGGAGCTATCCCTGGGCAGGAATTCTCACCACTCATCAGGGGGCTGTTACGATGTTGTTAGGGTTCTTAGAGCAAATTAAAACCCAGCATGGGCAGGCAGTGATTTGAACTTGAATTTAGTCAATGCTTAAATTGTGTAGGGACCTTGTGCTCAGTTCCATTACAGATTCTTGAAAGCAGACATTTTTTCTTGTTACAAGAGAGGTGGATGGAGATTATGGTTTTAGAAACAAAGCTTTTTGCCGCTAGGGGGTCTTGGGAGGACAGTATGGTTTAAAGTGAGTGAGCTCTGCTTGGTGGATCCCTTAGATAAGTCTGACAAATTCAAGTCAGTCCTGGGCTCCTCCAGCCTGAAGCCTCTGCCTAAGGAGCAGGACTGAGAATCCACCCCGTCTGTGGAATAAGAAGCTCAGAACATCAGATCCATGGAGTCTCCTTGTACTTATCTTGCAGCTGAGGCTTACCAAACTCTTACCCGTACCCCGCTATGCTAAGGGCTTTCATATTTACATGCTCACATTCTAGCTCTTTGAGCTCTCATAATAATTCCTTGACACAGTGTCCATGTCCCACTTTACTGAAGAGAAAACTGAGACAGAGAGAATTAAGTAATTTGGCTATGGTCACATAGCTGTCAGTTGCAAAGCTCTGGTCAGAACCCAGATCTAATTACAAAATCACACTGAGATGCTCCCTACTCCCCATTCCACAGGCTTAGGTTGCACTGGGAATCCCGAGCTGTGACTCCTCTGACTGACACCTGAAGGGCTGAACAATGTCTCAGATAAATGGGTGGGCTTCCACTGAGGTGGGAATACTGAACCTTCCCCTAGCACACACCACTCTGGCTTACATCCAGCTGCTTAAAGCTTGCTGGACCTGAAAGACTAGAACACTAGTCTTTTTTTCTGTCTTTGTGTATTGAGTATACCTTGGGTCTAGCACAGTGCTAGGGGCTGGCGGCAGAAGCAAATGCCAGTTCCTACCCACAGGAGCACACAGCCTTTGCCAGGAGAGGGCCAAATTGTGAGCTTTGGGTGTGAATTTCTGCAACAGAGTGAGGAGGGAATGATTTTGGTGTGGGAACCTCTTCCTAGTACTCATGGAATGTTCTCATTTTCTTAACTTGTTTTGCAACTATGTAGAGAGCCGGACAGCATTCATTATTTTCAAACTGTCCAGAATGTAGGGCAAAAGACTACAGACTATTAAATGCTTTTCAATGCTTAATGGAGACAGCACATACAGGTAATCCAGAAAGCTCTTATGAATTCGTATTTTCTATTTTCCCCTCATTGCTTTGATTAATTCTCAGTAAACACCAAGTTGTAAGAGTTTTGCATCTTCTCTCTTTTCCTACCATTCTTCTGCTATTGCTAAATAGAAAAACTAATGGGACTGTTCCACCCGTGAAGCAGGATATTCTTACCAAGAAGGTAAGCCAGGGAGACTGGGGTCATTGGCCAGAGAGGCTGTGTTGGGATATCACCTTGGAGGAAGACTGGGCCAGCCCTGCTTCTGTGATTTCTTAAAGACGGTTTCAAATCAGGCAGCAGAGAAAAATATGATCCCCAGGAACTCTAACCTGGACATCAGCATAATGTAAACTGCAATTAACTTTGCAGGCAGCTCTCACTCTTCTACGCTGGATTATCGAGGGAAAACATAACACCTTAGAGCAATTTCCTGTACTGTCCAGCCTCGTCACACATCCCAAGCCAGCTGGTAAATGCCAGAAAGAGGGAGCTGGAAGGAGGCCCAGGCTGCATCTGGTTCCCCTGGCTTCAGGAAGTGTCCTTCTCTTCTCCTGGGTAGGAAGGGGAAGGGCAGGAGGGCCTCTGTTCCCCAAGACTAAGGACAGAACACATGCAGTCCTAACCAAACTGCCCTCCCCCGTTTTTGCCCTGGGTGCCCCACTCCCAGCCCCAAACCCAACTTTAGTTTCTTTCAGCCAGCTTGGCAAGCGGGAATCGAGAAGTGGAGGTTTCATTCTCCTCCATCTTCTCTTGGCCAGGGGGCTGAGATAGAGATGGGACAGTCCTGCCTGCTCCCCAACCATACAGAACAAATGGAAAAAAACAAGAAGCCAGAGCACCCTACCTCTCAGCTCCAAGTCCGAGGCTGAGGCTGCGTGCATAGGCAGGGCACGACAGGAGGAAGGAAACAGAGAGTCATTCCCTGGGCCAGGCGGGGCTTGTCCTGCGCCAGCTAAGCTTCTTTCCCGTACCCATTCCAGGCTATCCGCCCCCGAAATAACAGGCAGGGTTCCCACGGGCAGCCTATCCAATATCTCCGCGATTTCCCAGTGGACAGGGCTGGGAATTGGTGAGCCTGCCCTAAAGGGGTCTCAGGGACTCCTACCTCAGGGGAGGGAGTGGAAAGTTCACCTTCTGGGGCAGGTTAGCCCACCGCCCCACCTAATGTTCCTCCCCCAAAGCCCTGTGATTATGGTACAGGACAGACTCTGAGCTTACTGGATGCAAAGGAACCCCAGCGGCTGTCAGTAGCCCAGAGCTACTGCTGCCTTAAAAGTAGGAAGTGCTGGTGTCAACTATTGGGCTGGGGATGCTAACCCCACCCACTCCGTGGAGGGCCAGGGAAAAAGCTCCGGGCACTAAAGATAGTAAGCAGCTGCTGGGGTGCTTTGGGTGCATCAGTCTAGCTGGGTAACCACCCGGCTGGGTAACCAGCTGCTGTCCCGAAGCATACACTTACCGCTCAGCAGGCGACCAGCGGCACCCCAGGGCCCGGCAAGCACGGTGACCAGCAGCACCGCCCGCGGTGCCGCTCCTGGCTGCATGGCCCAGCTCGGGTGCGCCCTCGGTCCTTGGACAGCAGGTCGCTACTCTGACGGAGCTGGCGGGCAACAGAGTTGTGCACCGCGACGGCAACAGCGGCGGGAGCATCTCCTGAAGATCCGAAGGACCCGGCACTGGGAGGAGGCGGGAAAGGCAGGGAGCCAGGGACGGGTTGTCCCTCAGGCTCCCCCCACCCGACGTCACTGCAGGGAGGGCAGCCCTGCTGGCCGGCCCGCCCCCCATAGCCTTCTCCAGCGAGCTAGTGACGCCAGACACCCTCGCCGGCTGGAGGGGAAAGAGCAGAAACGGGGAGCCAGCGTCCCTGCCCACCTGGAGCTTCCCGGGAGACTCTGCATTTGTCTAGGGTTTAAGGCTGAGGAAAATCCTAGTCTAGCTTTTCTGCAGCTGATAAAGAGAGCACTGTAACAAAATCAGCAGCACATCTATCTGTAATCCCTGGCGGCATAGACAGATTCACCAGGATCCCTGGACTCTGCATGTGTCAGTGGCAGGAGCCATGCACCATGCATAGAGTCTCAGTGACAGTGTGCCCGATGGCCGGCATGTTTTGCCACAGTGAAAATAGCATAGAGAGGTGGCTAAGTTGTGCTGAGAGAAGAGGCGATCCCCTGCAACCAAGTGTCCCTGCAATCAAATACTGCTTTGCAGAACACATGCTGGAAGTTGGGAATGATTGTTCAGCCTTGGACTACAGGGAGGCTGACCCACCTTTCTCCCTCCCAGCTTTCCCCCAGAAGATAACCCTTTTTCCTCTCTAAAATCTTTCTGTACAACCCAGTCCTCAGTATGTGCTCCCTTGCCAACCTCCCAAATGTGTTAACATTTGCCTCTTGTGATAAATGTTTTCAAATATATTCAAATAGTGAGGTGTTCAAAAGGTATTAAGTAGGGGTGGGAAATCTGATTTCCTTGCTTTCCCTCTGTCTTGTTTGGTGTGATACAAAGCAGAAGCCCTATCTGGGTCACCAATTTCTGGTTTTAGTCTTAGTTTGAGTCATTTGCAATTCTAGACAAAAAGTCCTGAACACAGGCTGGGGTTATTTCAATGTCAGTGGATAACCCCCATCCCCATGCAGTGATGGGGAAGTTCCATCACTGCAGAAAACAGCAGCATTAGCAGAATGGGAATTGCCTTTTAAAGCAGGTCTTGATGTCTTTTATGTCCAAATTAAAATATATCCATTAAAGGAACTCGCCTGCATTGCTGGTGGGAATGCAAACTAGTACAACCACTATGGAAAACTGTTTGGAGGTTCCTCAAACTGCTAAACATGGAGCTTCCCTATGACCCAGCAATCCCACTCCTAGGTATCTACCCAAAAGACACAAAAACACTGATTCAAAAAGACACCTGCACCCCCATATTTATTGCTGCTTTGTTTACAATCGGAAAGACATGGAGTCAACCCAAACGCCCAAAAGTAGATGACTGGATTAAAAAGACGTGGTACATATACACAATGGAATATTACTCAGCAACCAAAAAAGAAAAACACATTGCTTTTGCAGCAACTTGGATGGAGCTGGAAGGGATCATGCTTAGTGAAATAAGCCAGAAAGAAAAGGAAAAATACCAGATGGTTTCACTCATAGCAGGAGTATAAAGGACGAGGGGAGAAAATAAAAATAATAATGAACAACTATATACCAGAGACATTTTACGTGGGTGGAGTGGGGTCCAGTATATGCCAAAGAGGAGGATGATGAGGAGCAGAGTTGCCTTAATCAGTCAGAATTGTGGGAGGCAGACCTGTCCCTGGTGCTATAGCCTGAAGCAAGCTGTCTGGCCAAACTTAAGGCCAGCTGAGCCCCAGCTCACCTGCAGACATGGGAACAATGATGAGTATTTAGTATATACATTTTGGTAATTGCACTGTTGCAGCAAAGCTAACTATTACATCTGGTGTGGGGAGGTATCAGCAAGGGAAAGCTGGCTGCCAGAAAACTCACAGATTAGCCTTTTTCTTGGTAAAATTAACTTGGTCTAGTGTCCAGTCCTCAGCTTGACAAGCTTAAACCCAATTCTTAAGATATTAATATATCTATTCCTTGCAATATATGATCATCAGGTAAATTGATGTTTGTCTTGGCCTGCTGAACACTCCCTTTCTCTGGGCAGGTGAGAATTTCTCAGGGAGCATGAAATCAGTACAAAGGGAAATTCAAAAGTTTAGATCCTGCTGAGTTCATCTTCATAGTACACGTGATAGTCATAATATAGATCAGATTTAGTACATATTACTACATAGTACATATTACTTGTCTGGCAAGTAATACATCATCTTGACAGGGTAGCTTTTATTGATAGTGCTGAAATGAGACTGTCAATTTATAGCTTTCTAAGTTTCTTTTCTAAGCCTAACTTTCTTGTGTTCAAAACACTTTTTCCTCCTCTGCAGTGTGGCAGAAACTGTTAGCTGTCCACCAGTATCCATTTTCCACTTATTTTAGTGATGGTCCCTAAATATGAACTAGGCTCCCCATTTAGACACCGTTTCCCAGCTTCCCTTGAAGTTTGGTGTGTCCCTGTAAGTTCTGACCATTGACTTCTCTGTTGGCGCTGTGGAGTGGGAGTTACATCTTTTGGAGGTTATGTCCAGGAGTTCCGGGGGAGGCCAAGAGCTGCAGCACTGGAGCAGAGCCTATGCTCCTCTACCTGACTGCCCTGCCTGCTAGACAATGGGAAGAACAAATATTTTCTCTTCTCTTTCCCCAGTACTAAAGGGAATGGCCCTTGAAGGTGAGGGAGATTGGAGTTGTGTCTCTGTGTGTTAGACTGGGGAATGTTAGGACGAGAAACAGTTCCATTTCTGACTCCAGACATGTGCCTGAAATGAATAAACCCAAGTTTTTAAAAAGGAATTACATATTTTGTAGAGTAAGAATACTTGAATATATCAGGACTATACTTTCATCCCTCTTGCCTTGTTGTTTTTACTGGTGATCTACAAAGTGGGGTGCATAAAGTCCCTGTTTGTTGTTCACGTGATAGTCATAATATAGATCAGATTTAGTAATTCTGGAAATACCCTTCAAATGAAAAGAGAAATAGGAGTTTGAGAGTTTATAAGATTAGCGAGATGACTATTGTGCAATACCAAATGTGATAGTATCAAATAAGTAAACAGACAGTAACTGGTAACTATATTTAATTTTGATTTATCTACCTTAACCAAGCAATCCCAGTCACCCTGATGTAAGAGAAGTTTGTTTCAAAAGTAAAGATCAAAGTTGAGGCATCCTTTACCATATGTCAATCAAATTAATCCAAGGCTTTGACTGCTTCTTGATCTTCTTTATCTGACTCTGATATCACTTTCCTGTTGGTGATAACATGAATCAGTTTGGTACACAGAACTCCATAGCTGTGAGCACTATCTAGCATGAAAACAACTTTTGTAATTTTTCCTAGTGAAGATTCTCTGTCTTGGATTCTGATAGTGCACTGAATCTTGTTCAAATGTAAACTTTTACGTGGGAGGGGTGGTCATTATGTTATGAAGAGCATGGGAGAAGACCTCATCCAATGCTAAATATATTCTGTTCACCCAAGAGGCAGGCTTGGAGAGTTCATCATTGGTAATTGATTTCTTTTGATTATTCCTTGTAGTTGGCCTTCTTTTAAAATATTAATATTCCTGGCATGTATAAACATATTGCTGTGAAAAATGTACAAAGAACACACTTTTTAGATCTTTCTTTCTAACAGAAGGAAAACTGTATTATCCAAAAAGCATATATATGTATGTGGGGGAGGGGGAGAATGCTGGGAGTGGTGGTTGGGGTAGATAGGAAAGGCTGGAGAGAGGGAAAAACGGTAAAGTTAAAATATTTTATAATTCTGTCTGATATGTTTCAAAATTAACTAGATGCTTATAAAAATCACTTTCTAAGTTAGCTAGTGCTGATCTTCCTGATAGTTTTGAACTAAAATTTTTTATTACAAATATTTTTAATTTCCTTCTTATAGGTAGTATGCAAGATCTTTTGTAAGTTCCAGTTTCTCATGCAGCTTACAATATAGGTATAGACAAATCAGTATATTGAATAGTTAAATAACAGTTTAAGAAGTGGGTAATTATAAATGTGGGCATGAATTAGTTAGTACATGTCTCATGGTCAAAAGAAGAATACAGACAGTAACTGTACAAAACACAGATGATGTGGACAGTGAAATGGAATGAAATTCCAGGTTTTAGAACAGAGGAGGGAGAATGAGTAAGTTGATATATAAAAGAATTAAGTAAACATGTAGTCATTAAGGGATGTATCTGCTGTAAAATAACGTTTTACTCTTAGGTGGGTCAAGAGTAGCATTCCTGTAATAACAGTCACAGAAGCTGGGGCATTCAGACATCTATGTTGCTATTCAAGTAGCAGTCTTCATCCATTATTTTAATAAGTGTGACTCTTTGGATTGGACTAGTTTTGCTCCACCCTTAAAAGCTAAATCAAATCATCTGACTAAAAAGCAAGAAATTAAATTGTTGAGCATTGCAGGTGATGAAGTGATCTCCCCCGCCCCAGGTTTTTAAAAATTACTGTAGACATATTCATTTTTTCTTTAAGGGATTACTTTGATAACATTAAAAGGGAGTTAGCCTCAATACCCACGAGTAAGAATAGAAAGCTATTCCCTGAATGTATTATGCAAGTACACATATGTTAAATGAATGCTGAATTAGCCACTTTGGTGTTCACTCATAATATCATAATGGAGAGTTTTTTTTTTAGAGGCTCTTTAATGATTAACTGGTAATAGCTGGTTTCCTTTAAACTCCCCTGAATCATGTGCCTGGTGCTTTAACATGCCAGGGACAAGGCTGTTAACCCCTCACCGTGAGGCTCAATGTCTTGCCACCTGAACTTAGACTCGGCAATCTCAGGTAAGCCTTCGGGGGGGTCTCAGAGCTGATGACCTAGGACACCTAGGGGTGGGGGTAGGGGGTGTGGGCTGAGAGAATGCAGTGGCAGGGGGTGTGAAGGAAAAAGGCCGTGTGCAGAGATTTCAGGTGAGTCTGCTCCTGTGCACAACGTCTTACACTTGCACATCACACAGCTATGCCAGTGGGCATGCAGGCTCTCGTGTGAAAAG